GTTCTCCAGAATGGTTGATCCAATTTACAACACCACCAACAGTGCATTAGTACCCTTATTTTTTGTACATCCCTCCACAAATGTGTCCTTTTTCTTTCCTATCACAATAGGCAACCTAATAAGGTAGTACCTCAGAGTTGTTTTAACTTGCTTCTCCCTAATTTATAGTGATCTAGAACACTTTTTGATATAACCATAGATAGCTTAGATTTATTTTGAAAGCTTCCTGTTCATAACTTTTAAACATTTATCAATTGGGCAATGGCTCTTTTTTAATAAATTTTATTCAGTTGCCTATATATTTGAAAAAAGAGACCTTTAACAGAGAAACTTGTTCTGGAAAAACTTTTCCCAGTTTCCTACTTTCCTTCTAATTTTAGCTGTATTGGTATTGTTTCTGCAAAACCTTTTTAACTTATTGTTACCAAAATTATCTGTTTTAATTCTTGTGAACTTCTATATCTTGTTTGGTTATAATTCTCTTATCCACAGAATAACAGGAAAAATATTCCATGCTCCAATAACTTACTTATGTTATTAACCATTTATATATAAATTTTGTGCTCATTTTGACCTTATCTTACTATACAATGTAAGATGTTGGTCTCTACCTGGTTTCTGACAAATAGTTTTCCACTTTTTCTAACAATTCTTGTCAAATAATGAGTTCTTGTCTCCCAAACTTGAATCTATAGGTTTACAAAACAATAGATTAATGTGGTTATTTACTACTGTGTACTGCATATTTACTCAGTTCCACTGATCTACTCTATTTCTTATGCAGTACCAAATATATTTTATGATTACCATTTTGCAATATAGTTTGAAATCTGGTGTTACAAGGCCACCTTCCTTCACATTTTTTTATTGATTCCCTTCATATTCTTGATGTTTTGTTCTTCTAGATGATTTAAAAAAATTTTTCTAGTTCTGTAAAATATATCTTTGGTAACTTGATCAGTGTGGTACTGAATAAGTAAATTCATTTAGGTAGAATTGTCATTTTTATTATATTAGCTCAGCCTATTCATAAATAATTAATATTTCTCTAGTTATTTAGATATATCTGTATTTGTCTGAAAAGTATTTTGTAAATGTGTTCATATAGTTCCTGGGTTTGCCTTGGCACTAGACTCCCAAGTATTTGATATTGTCTACAGTTGTTTAAATTTCATTACTCTTTCTATCTCTTCCTGCTGCACTTTGTTGGTAATATATAGAAATGGTGATGATTTATGTGGGTTTATTTTATATCCTGCAACTTTGTGAAAGTTGTTAATTGTTTCAACTACTTTATTAGTTGGTTCTCTATGATGTGCCATCATATCATCTGCAAAGAATTATGGAATCCTTTCCTCATTATATAATTTTATTCCTTCAATTTCATTCTCTTCTCTTATCACTATAGCTAGCATTTCTAATACAATATGGAATAATAGTGGTGATAAAGTATGTTTCTTATAAACAATATGTGGTTGGATTCTGTTTACTAATCCGTTCTACTATCTTCTTCTGTTTTATGAGTAAGTTCTTCCCATTCACACTCACAGTTATGACTACTACCTGTATATTTCCCTCCATCCTTTTTTTTCTATTTATCCTTCTCTCTTTCTTTTTATACTGATCCTCTTCAAATATCTGTTTTGCTTCTGACCACTGCCTCCCATAATCTGCCCCCCATTTATCTTTCTCCTTTTTCCTTATCCCTTTCCTTTCCTACCTCCCTGTTGAGTAAGATAGATTCCTATACCCAAATGAGTGCATGTATGTGTGTGTGGTTACTCCCTCTTTGAACCAATTCCAGTGAGATTGAGGTTCAAGTTTTGCTTGCCATTCCCCCTCCCCATCTAACCCTTCACCATAAATGATCTTCTTTTCATGCCTCTTTTATGGGAGAGAATTTTCCCCATTCTTCCTTTCCCTTCCCACATCTTTCAGTGCTTCTCTCTTTCTCAACCCTTCATATTTTTGGAGATCATCCCAACATAATTGACTCACATCTATGCCCTCTGTCTACATAGACTCCTTCTAATTGCTGTAATAGTGATAAAATTTTCAGGAGTTATATGTATCATCTTCCCATATAAGAATGGAAACAGTTTAAAACTTATTGACCCCCTTATGACTTCTTTTTCATGTTTACCCATTTATACTGCTCTTGAGTTTTTCTATTTGAATGTCAGATTTTCTATTTATCTCTGGTCTTTTCATCAGGAATGTTTTAAAATCCTCTGTTTCATTATATATCCATTTTTCCCTGAAGTATTTTACTCAGTTTTGTTGGGTAGATAATTCTTGGTTGTAATCCTAGCCCTATTGCCTTCCAGAGTATCATATTCTAAGCTTTCTACTGCTTTAATATGTTGGCTGTTAAATCTTGTGTCATCTTGATTCTGGCTCCACAGCATCTGAACGACTTCCTTCTGGCTGCTTGCAATATTTTTCCCTTGACCTGGAAGTTTTGGAATTTGGCTATAAAATTCCTGAGAGTTTTCATTTTTTTATTAGTTTCAGGAGGTAATCAATGGATACTTTTAATTCCTATTTTACCATCTGTTTCTAAGATATAGTGGTTTTCCTTTAAAATTTCCTGAAATATGATGTCTTGGCTCTTTTTTTTTAATCAAGGCTTTCAGATTTTCTAATACTTTTTTTGTAAATGTCTCTCAATCTTGCATACCCTTTGATCCAGCAATACCACTACTAGATCTGTATCCCAAAAAGATCATAAAAAAGGGGAAAGGACCCACATGTACAAAAATATTTATAGAAACTTTTTGTGGTGGCAAAGAATTGGAAATTGAGGGCATACCCATCAATTGGGGAATGGCTGAACAAGTTGTGGTGTATTGATGTAGTGGAATACTACATGATGAGCAGGTACATCTCAGAAAAACCTGAAAAGACTTACGTGAAGTGATGTTGAGTGAAGTGAGCAGAACCAGGAGAACATTGTACACAGTAACAGCAACATTGTGTAATGATCAACTTTGATACACTTGGCTCTTCTCAGAAATACAATGGAAACTTGCATGCAAAGACAATTCCAAAAGAATTGTATTTTTGTGCTTCTTTTAAAAAGCAGTTAATTCTCTTTTCATAATTTTCTTGCATCACTCTCATTTCTTTTCCTAATTTGTTCCTCTCTACTCTTATCTTTTTCTTTAGCTCTTCCAGGAATTCTTGTTGGATTTGTGTCCAATTTTAATTTTTCTTTGAGGTTTTGCTTATGTTCAATGTTGTTGTCTTTTTTTGAGTTTGTGTCTTGATCTTCCTTGGCACTATAGTAACTTTTCATGGTCAGGTTTTTTGTTATTGTTGCTGTTGTTGTTGTTGTTGTTGTTGTTGTTTTTGCTGTTGTTGTTTAATTATTTTTCAGGCTATTCCTTGACTTTTAACCCTATGTTATGTTGGTCTCTGTTCCTGAAGCAAAGTGCAGGGGTCACTGTCCCAACCTTCAGGCTATTGTCATTCTGCTGTTTTCAGGGTTAGTTCTAGGAGTTTGTAAGTATTCAGTGATTCCAGGGTGGTGTGATCCAGAAAGAAGTATGGTCTCTACTCTCCTGTTCTATGCTCTGGTCTTTACCCAGAAAAGGGTCCCTGTGCCCTACACCTGCAAGTCCTAGCATTTCTCTCCTCTCTGTAACTGTGGATGGGCAATGCAATAGGGTCCTTCACTGAGTGTCAGCTCAGTGTCTCCTATAATCTCTTTCTGGCAAGCTTATCCAATTCCCTTACTATCTCTGGGCTGAAACCTGCTGTAACTGTTGCTGCTACTTCTCTCCTGACCCCAAAGCCCACTGCTTATGCTGTTACTATGTGTGAATTTGGCACCTTTGGCATAAGCTTTTTTTTTCTTTTCCATTTTGAAAATGAGGAACCTGAGGTGTAGTGACTAGTCCAAGGCCATACATCTAATCACTGGAGAAGTCAGAGTTAGGTTTTTATAAGCCTAAATAAACTGTGTTTTTTTTTTTCAAATAAACCTCGAGAATGGAGAAAAAAGATCTAATTCACTACTCTTTTAACCATTTATGCATCTTTTAGATGGAGAGTTGTTGAGCATAACTAATCCTATAACAAAGGGAAATATGAGTGAGCCAAATGCCATCAGTAAACTTAAATTCATTGTGATTATTCTCATCAAACTTTGTATTTCTATAGGATCTCAATGCCTGTTCAGAATATCTCATCACATTCATTCCCAGGAAAAGTGTGAAGACCTCCAAAATATATGAGATTATTAAACAGGGAGTTGTTGGACCATTCATTACTATTTTGTAATTGTAAGAATGTTTAAATTGCATTATTATATAATTGTTTCAGTTCTATTCATTTTTATAATCAACTTGTCTACAGCAGACCTCCATAACCCATGGCCCATGAGCTGCTTATGGCCCGCAGGCTTCTTGCAGCACAAGAAAGGATTTCTGGTCTATGAAAAATGAAGAGGAAATTCTTTGTTGGGCTGCAGGTTATTCAGGACTGATCTACAGAATCAGTCTTGCCTAAAATTTCCCTGGTGGAAAATGTTAAGCATCATTATATCTTGGAGACAATTATTTTAGAATTATCTCAACAATAACTTAGAAAATAGACACTGGAGAGTGATTGCATTTTTAAATTTTTTCAGTTGTCTTGCTGTAAATAGAAATATACAATTCAGATTCATCCACAGAACTTGTAACAACAACAATAGCCAGCATTTATAAATCCCTTTAAAGTTTGCAAAGCATTTCACATATATTGTCCCATTTGATCCTTATAACAACCTGGTGAGGTAGGGGCTATTATTTTTATTATTTTATAGTTCAGGAAACTGAGACTTAGAGAGGTCAAATGACTTCTGGAATCACTCAGCCATGAAGTGTCTCAAGTAGGATTTGAACTGAGGTCATCCTGAGTATACGTCCAGTGCTTTATCTCTTGTACTGCTGATGATAGTGTCTTGATACCTTTGTGCAAAGCTGTGTATCATGGTCATTACTTATTATTTGCAGAGCTGGAGGCCGAGGAATGGTGCAAACACCTTTGCATGGAGTGTCTAGGAACCAGACTGAACGACATAAGCCTTGGGGAACCCGATCTGCTGGCTGCAGGAGTGCAGAGGGAGCAAAATGGTATGTGTCACATCTTTGATGTCATTATACTAAGCCATCATGGTAGAAGCTTGGACCTGGAGGCATCTGAGCAATCATCTAGTGAGATATGGGGTTAGAATGGGGTTTTTTATTCTTGGGTCTTCAAACTTGCTTTTTAAAAATATTTAAAAATATTTTGTTTATGCATACAAAGGAACACAATTTTATTATTTTATATTGTTACATAAATAAAATTTTATATTATTACATAATTGATTTTGTCTATGCATTTAAAAATAGTGTTCTGAGAAGGGGTCCATGAGCTTTACCAGATTGCCAAAGGGGTCAATTATATAAAAAGAGGTTAAGAATCTCTGATCTAATCCAGTACTCTCATTTTATTGGAAACTTGGGCTAGAAAAGCTAAGCAGTTTACTAAAAAGTCACATAGCTAGTAAGCACAGCAGAACCAAAATTCCAACCCAAGCTCTTTGACTCTAAACTCAATCAGGACTTACCCGTCAGCTCATTTTTCACATGAACCAACTAAGAATTGTCCATGAATTGCCCAAAGTCAGGTGGGTTAACTAGCTACAAAGTCAAGATTGAATTCAGGTTTCCTGACCCAACCCACTATTCACTATATTAACCAAATTAATTCAATCACAAAAAGCAGCATGATTTAATCAAGTGCCACCATTAACTCCTGGCTCTGCCACTTACCACCTATGTGACCTTGGACAAATAACTTCATCTTTCTGTGAGTCTGTTTCTATAACCTTTTAAACTGGACCTATGATTTAATTTTTGTAAGGAATTTAAGTGAGAAAATCCCTTCTTAATGTAGATCCACACCTACTCTGTAACTCATAGTCTTAGTATTCCCTGAGGCACTGGGAGGCTAAGGATCACATAGGTAGTAGTATATGTCAGAAGAAGAAATTGAACTTAGGAATTTTGACTCTGAGGCCAGTTGTTTATCTCTTGTGCCATGATTCCTCTCTTATAAAATGAAGAAATTGAATTACACGACCTATAAGGTCCCTTCCAGATCCATCAGTTCAACACTCAACATGGCCTAAAGTCCATATCAAGTAGCAAATCTTCAATTCAATCCTGTATTTATTAAGGAATCCCTATATTTATCATAAATCATTTATCTAGAGTTTAATGGTATCTCAAAGGTCTAGTCTCATTCTCTTGCTTTACTGATGAAGTAACCAGTTTCGAGGAAGGTTAAGTGATTTGTCCAAAGTCCTTCAGATAGTATGTATTGAAAGCAAAATTTGAGCCTAGTTTCTCTGAATGCTGAGATGATACTCTTGCCATTGAACCATGAGTATGGCATTATACTAAGTTTTGGGGTCACAAAGAAAAATTATAAAAAATACCTGCCTTCCAGGAGTTTACTACATTCAACTAGGATAACACAATGTGTAAAAAAAAATGAATACATACGTGATAATTTGAGGACAAAAAGAGCATTAACAGCTAAGGAGACCAGGAATAGCTTCCCAAAGGAGATGGAAGATGGATTTGCCATTGAAAAAAGTTAAGGATTCCAAAAAGCAGTGGTTAGAATGGAGTTCATTGTGGGAGTGGAGGTCAGTCTATACAAGACCACAGAAGTGAGAGATGAAGTAATGAGTGTGGTCAATATGAAGTCAGTCTGACCAGAATATAGTGTTTAAATAACTGTGTTGAAGAGAACCCTTGTCTGGAAATAGTAATAGTGGAGAGGACCCACCACAGATAGAAGCTAGAGATACAATGAAACAAGGCAGTATCAGGGAATGACCAGACAAGTCAGTAAGTAGATAAGTGCCAAAGGAGGTAGGCAGAGTTAGATAATGAAAAAGGGTCAAAACCAAAAATCTACAACTACATCTCAGAGAAGGGTAAATGGGACACAAAACTAAATTTCCAGTTCTGGAACCTCTTCAATTCTCCTTCTTTATACTATCTTCCTTGATGATCTCATCAGTTCTTATGGGTTCAGTTATCAACTATCCTAACCTCTCTCCTGAGCTACAGTCTCACATCACAAAATTGGAAATTTGTCTCTTGGCAATTTCTAATTGTGTACTTCTACAGGCATCTTAAAGTCAATATCTCTAAAAGAGAACTCATTATCTTTTCCTTTACCCTCACCTAAGACCTTCCTCTCCACATTCCCACCCCCCTTCAAAGTCCCTATTACTATTGGAAGCAACACCACTATTGGAAGCAACACCATTATCTTACTCATCCAAGCCCAAAACCTCATGGTCATTCTTAACTCTTCTCTCACATTTATTTCACATATCCATGTCTTATTGTTTCTACCTTTACAATATGTCTCATTTATATCTCCTTCTATCCACTCAAACAGCCAATACCTTGTTACAGACTCATTTCCTCAAGCACAAATTATAGCAGTAGCCTTTATAGTTGCTCCCTCTGCCTTAAATTTCTCCCTACTCTAGTCTATCTTCAATTTATTTCATATATTTATCTTCCTGTAGTACAGATCTAACCATGTCACCCCATATTCAAAAAAAAAAATTCACTGACTATTGCCTCCAGGATCAACTATTAAATCTTCTGTTTGATTTTTAAAGCCCTTCATATCCTAATTCCTTTCTACCTTCCAATATTCCTGTACTTTATTCCCCCTCACATGTTCTATGATCCAGTGACTGGCTTTCTTGATATTTTTTACACATGATACTCCATCTCCTGACTCCATGTCTTTTCACTGACTGTCCTCTACTCCTAGAAAGCTCTCCCTCATCATCTCTGCCTCCTAATTTCCCTGATTTCCTTCAATGCTCAACTCAAAGCCCACTTGCTGCAAAAAACATTTCCTTATCCCCCTTAATGTCAGTCTATCTGGGATTACCTTTAGTCAACCTATATGTAAATACACACATCCGTATGTGTGTCTGTATATTATGGGTATATTGTATAGATATATATACATGTATATACATATACATGCACACAAATCTATAAAATAGATTTATATACTATATGTGTATAATTCATAGTAATATTTGTATGTATTATACAAATTTTTACAATAAATATATGTTTATATATTTACACACATATAAACATATATATTGTTTGTACATGTGTCCCTCATTAAAATATGAGCTCCTTGAGCAAAAGGGCCATATTTTGACTTTCTTTATTTCCCCAGCACTTAGGACAATACTTAGCACATACTAAATGCTTAATAAATTCTTTAGATTGTAAGTGTCAAATAAATGTAAAAGAAAATATTCAAAAGAAATATGGTGGCATAATAGTAATCACCTTCACTATCATTCACAACCTACCTGCCCATTAGTAGCACAGACAAAAGCTAGTTGTATATTGATAATATGAATAAGCACCCTTTTTTTGTGCTAATTTATAATAAGATTAAGTGTATGTAAAATACATTCTCTGCCCTTAATGGCTCCAGTACCATGTGAACACATTCTCATAATTTTAATATTTTCATAACCGTTCACATAGTAACTCCAAAAGTGCATCCTCTCATCTAAATTTCTGGAAGCAGCCACAGGTGTAGAAGGCATATTGCCACATTGATTCAAGTATCTTTTCCTGTTCAGGGTTTTTAAAAAGGAAGAAAAAACTTGTAGATAAGCATCTGTCAAACACTGTGTGAAGGAAATATAAAGAAAGCTAAAAATGTAAGTTTGTGGGTGGAAAAATAGCACAGCTGTCTTCATGCAGCTCTTTGAAAGGTGTGGTATTTGTTAGAATTGTATAGGCTTGGGTTTGCAAGGAGTTTTTCCATGGTGAGAAATAGCTTGTTCCCTTTATTTTCTTTCATGGTATACACCAAAGTGACCAGTCTAGAATACAAAGAGAAACTCTGATGAAGAATTTCTTGAGAAGAGAACAAAAAAGATTTAGATATTGGAACTGCAAAGTCAGGGACTGTTTACACAAAAATTTTCTGTCCTGTATTATCTTCTTGTCAGAGTTGTGATTACCCTAGCAATGATTCTGCAAATGTTTTTTTTTTTAACTTGCTCTTTCAACAATGTGCGTGCGTTAAGGAAAACACACACACACACACACAAGATACTTAATAAATACATGAATAATGCTTCTATTTATCCTTCAGGTATGAAAGGTAGACAAAGCATCTCTTCATGATTGCATCCTCCTTCTAGGATCTGTGTAATCTGATTCTTACTTCTCTCACATCATCCCTATATCTAGCAGTCTCAAGTCCTATGGAGTTTTCTTTTACAATATCTATCACAGGTCCTTAGGATTTAGGGCTAGAAAGGACTGCCCAAGTCATTAATTACAATGTTATATCATTTTAGAGATGAATGATAGGAGATTCAAAGAGGTTAATTATCTGGTACAAATCAGAGAATGAGTAGCAGACCCAGGATTCAAACCTAGATGTTCTAGCTTCAAATCCAATGGTGTTTCTAGTACACTGCACCAATGGTGCATCTGTCTTTTCATTTATATTTCCATCACTGTAGATGAGACTTTAATCTGTATGCCAAGAACAATGCACTTAAACATAGCTGTCATGTGAGGCAATAGAGTTAGAAAGATGTGGATTCTAGAACTGGCTATATCACTAACTAGCTATGTGGTCATCTGCAAATAATTTAATTGTTCTGAGCCTCACATTATCATTGTGTCATAGATTTAGGGCTGGAAAGCACCCTTAGAGATTATCTACTCCAATGCCCTCATTGTAAATGAGGAAACTGAGACCCAGAGAGAGCCAGAAATTTAATCCAGACCTAACCCTAAAGTCTTTCTACTGTACTACTTGTATCTCAGATTGAGTGGATTTTACTAAGTGGTCCTAAAGGTCCTTTCCATTTATAAAGAGTCTATGTTTCTATGATATTTAACAGCCCATGAATATGCTTTATATTTTTTCATATCTACGTATTTCACCCATTTGTAATGGTCTTCCCCCTTCTCTCTGCCTTCCGAATATTATCTATGTTTCAAAAACCAGCTTCAGTTCTGCCTCTTCTTTTCCTCTATTAAACTTTAAAAGCAAC